GTACTTTAGGTAAGCACAACAATACAATAGTACTTTGAGTAAACACAGCAATACGATAGTACTTTAGGTGAGCACAGTAGTAAGATAGTACTTTAGGTAAACACAAAAGTACGCTAGTACTTTGGGTAAAAACAGAAGTACGTTAGTACTTTGGGTAAGCGTAGGAGTACGTTAGTACTTTAGGTAAATGTAGCATCCGGTTCCTGGTATGAATTTCATTCAAGTATTATTCATTTTTTGGCCTAGAACTTGGTGAGTTGATGGCCAACTCGACGAGTAGGAGCGACTTGGACCCGGGAGTTTAATGACCTACTCGACGAGTCGGCGGCCAGACTCGACGAGTAGGCCCTGACTGGACAAAACAATAAATCTAAGGGATTGCACCCTATTTAAGCATCTCATTCAGCCTCCCTTCGTCCCTATTGCTCTCAGAACTCTCCATATCAAACCCTAATCGTTTGTGTAAAGATCTAAGGCCTTTGTGGTGGTTTTTGGTGATTCTGGAACATAAGAAGGAAGAGAAAGGCTTGAGGAATCAAGAGGAGGCCAGAGGAGTTCGAGTTTGTGCACCCTCTGCAGTTCTTTAGAGGTATAAAACTGATACCTTGCTCTTTCATGTTTTAGATCCCTTTTTGGGGTGATTTAGGGCTTTAGGAGCCATCTTGGTGACCAATCATGAGTGCAAGCATGGTTGGGGGCTAAGACTTCAGATCCAAGGTCTTTGAGGGGTTACAAGGCAGAAAGGGACTGATTTTGGAGCCTTAGAGAGCCCCATGCATCTTAAGAGTCTCATTTAGGGCCATTTGAACTCATAGTCCCATGCATGCACGTAAAGTTTGTAACTTTACGTGCTAGATCGATCTTAGAAGCATAGATCTATCTTTTGGTCAAGTGTTGTACATCAGAAATCGAGAAATTAGACTTGGTCATTCTCGACTCGGCGAGTCGTTCTTGAACTCGGCGAGTCCATGGCTTGACTTCCCTTTTCTGTTGTGGTTCGAAGGAACCTAGTGAGTGTTAGAGTGGTCTTAGAGGGGTCCGGGGGAGTGACCCAACGCATTAGACTTACCCATAGACCTGGAAATCATAGGACTCGACGAGTTGTTCATAGAACTCGGCGAGTCAAGGGCAGACTTGTTCATAGGATGGGGATGAACTCGACGAGTCGTTCATACAACTCGGCGAGTCGGATGAAGGTTCATTCGAGGATGTTTTAGAAGGAGAACTCGTCGAGTCGTTTCTAAACTCGACGAGTACGGGCGTGAAGAAGGACATATGAAAGGATAGGGACTCGACGAGTTGGCGGCCCGTCTCGACGAGTCAGGTCAACTGGAAGTTGACTTTGACTTTGACTTGGTCAGGGGTAAAATAGTCATTTTACCCTAAGAGTAGTTATCAGTGTCTGATTAAGTGTTTTATGGATTTATAGTCGGAGGATCACCGGAGCATCAGTCAGACATCTGTCGATCAGCTTTTCAGCAGTCAGCCTTACGAGGTGAGTTACCTTCCAGTAGAAGTGGGTCTAAGGCACCAATGCCGGCTCACCAGTAGGAGTCGTATGTTAGATGATTGTCTTTGTGATATTCATCTAGGTTTGCTACTACCTGATATGTTATGTGCTAGTATGATATGATGTTATATGCTAGTAGCAGTAGGGGAGATAGTCCCCAAGATTTCCGGTCGATAGGGCCGAAGGGTAGTCATACCCAGTCATGCTAGATAGAATATGATTATGTGTTACATGTTATGTGGTAGTAGTATAGGGGTGAAATAGTCCCCAGTATCCAGTCGAGAGGACCGAAGGGGAGGCCAGTACCTAGGTATGCTAGGCAGTATCCGGTCGAGAGGACCGAAGGGAGGGAGGCCAGCACCCAGGTATGTTAGGCAGTATCCGGTCGAGAGGACCGAAGGGGTAGGTCGGGCACCCAGATATGTCTGACAGTATATGTATGTTATGTGATTGTATGGTATGTGGTACGATGGAGGAACTCACTAAGCTTCGTGCTTACAGTTTTCAGTTTTGTTTCAGGTACCTCTTCAGCGAAGGGGAAGGAGCTGGCGCGGTAGCTGCACATCATAGACACACACGTTGGATTTCCGCATTACGAGATTCTTGGGATTGTACTCTGACGTTGTATATTTATGGGTTGGTTTTCAGACATGAGATATTAGTTTTATGAAATGATATGTCTTCACTATGTTTTCTTATGGAAGTTTTATAAATCAATTAATTAAAAATGAAATTTTTGGGACTCGAAATTCGGGATGTTACAGTAAACACACCATATTATTTCGCACAGCCCTTCACTAACCTATCACAACCTCTAATTTATTATTTCACACAACCCTTCACTAACCCATCACAACCTCTTATTTATTATTTCACATAGCCCTTCACTAACCTATGGCTTCTAGAAGCGTGCGTCGCACCTATCTGTGCGTGACACCTTTCGAAAATCTTTAAAAAAATCATATATTTCTCATACGAGCTCCATTTTCGATGTTATTTTATATCCACACATAGCTATAGACGAGTACTACAACCTTCATTTAGACTCTGTCGCCTAATTATTTTTAAAGTTATATTTTTAGCAGACTTAGACTGTTAAAGTTCATATAAAGTTCATAACACTTCCATACGACATTCGTTCTCGACTGTCTTTATATCGACGAACTTCTCGTTTATATTGTTTTGCCTAACAATCAACCGATTTAAATTTCCTGTTTCTGTTTCGCATACTACTACGCTGAAACTGTGAAAATCATAACTTCCTTATATGAAGTCAAATTTGGACGTTCTCTATATGCATGCTCTTGCTTTTACGATTACTATGACTTTCGTTTAGATTAATTAGGATAATGGCCAATTTATCTCTGACTCACTATTCACGATGCACATGGCTAGGTCGGTTTATTCATGAAGCATCGAAGAAACATAACTTCTTCATACAAAGTTGGATTTAAGCGCTCCTAATATCACTGTCATAGTCATTACGACCACTACATCTCTAGCTAAGATTTATTTATTTTATCTTAAATGTCTAGCCCTAATTTTCGGGCGTTACAGTAGCAACTTCGAATCTTCAATCATCTCGGAATCTTGGTTGTCTCGGATTGTCTAAGGATCACTTAACTTGAACTAACAATTCTTTACTTAAACATGCAATCCCACCCTGACTTATGCATTCGAGAGCAATATCAAGGGTGACCCCGGTATCGCTCTTGGTGTTCTTGTTTATGTCAACAGGTCGGATGTAGGAAATCACCACAAACATGATAAGTATACGATCGGAAAATGGGCGTAGCATCAAAGATGATACAATAACAAATTTTGATTTCATACCAAGATTTCAACAAATATTGATTTCATGCATCACACAAAGAAATTAAAGCTTTTTCCGGATTTTGATACATAAAAGCACCAACATAAGTTTTCCATCAAACAAACATATAGAAGCACCAACATCAGTTTTCCAACTGATTTTAGAGAAAAAAAAACGAAGCAAAATACATGTAGATGTCGTCGACTATGCTTGAGAAGGCGGTGTGGAACTGGCCGAAGGGGAGAACTGCTTCAAGGTTATGTATGGATAAAGGAAAGGAGGAAGAGCTGATCGTTAAAGTGATTATAGATATGTTTTTTTCGGGTGTAAAGTTCTTTTTTGTAGGTCAGTCACATTTCAACAATCGATCGAGTAAGCAGATAGATCAGGGATTGTTGGCCGAGTTAGATGATTTCGAACTTATCAAACAAGCTGATCAGACCAAGTTAGCCAAAATTGATGACTTGCCAGTTAACTTAACGTCAAACGGAGACTGGGTTGGTGATGATATATTAACCATCTCTTTTGAATAAAACAATCAAAATAATGTTTTCGAGTATCTTTTGGTGGAATGAAAATGAGCTTGTTTAAAAATAGCAACTAGTTTTACAATATTGTATATCAAGACCAATATGATAAATTCAATGTTTTATTATAATATCGAATTTTTACCAAACTATAAGAGTAGTGAATATTGGTCTGTTAAGGGGCGTTGAGATTCCTATGTGACATACCATAACGTCGTTAAGAGTATATCAACAACACCCCAACTTCATGTTATGTTAAGGCACGTTGGTGTTATAACGTATTGAAACGGGAAAAGTTATTGGTTGCACATATTCTCTCTCTCTCTCTCTCTCTCTCTCTCTCTCTCTCTCTCCTATTAACATCATATTATAACTCTCTCTCCTATTAACATCATATTATAACAAGGGAACACCACCTTCACTTCATGTCAAGGTTCTAAAAAGCTTGTCATGACTCCAAGACTTGTACTTGCCGCCAAACTTTAACCTAATGTCTCCTTAAGTTATATATATATATATATATATATATATATATATATATATATATATATATATATATATATATATATATATACAAAATTGTCGTCTCATGTCACGCCTTACAAACAACGTGGGTCACCATAGATCGAAAAAACTTGAGGTTTAACATTGTTGTCAAGTCACGCATAACGTTAGTTACAACTTTACTTCATGTTATAACATAATAGTGTTGTGTAGGCATGTGAAATGACACAGTTTGAATGTTACAACACCCCACCCAAAAACACGACCCATAAGCAAGAGTCTCTTGTTAGAAAAACACGACCCATATGTCATATCCTCTTAACAGAAAAAAAAAATATAAGTAATTGTTAATTTGAATCAAAATGAAGGACTTTTATCTTTGAAAAAAGATTATGGAATGAAATTTTTATGAAAATATAGGAACTATCTAACCAAATATGTTTCGGTTCAAACTATTTCAAACCCTAATCATTAAACTAGTCCTCCTTATGGGTACAATGATTAATGCAAGAAGTACAATATGATTACTGCATAGACAAACAAGAGTACAAGACAAGAAGGACGCACGTGACAATGGAGAACTGCGCAGACAGCATCAACCACATGGCCTCGCCTCTTAAAGCGAGAGAAAGAAAAAAAAAGGTTCTTACAAAACCCCCACTACTTTCTCTTACGTCTCATCGATTAATGGCGATTGTGCCCACCATCTCTGACACAGATTCACTCTCCTTTAACCACACGACCATTAACCAATTCAACTATCAATTCTCATGGCGATTAATGGTGGGACTTCAAATGATTCGTCTTCTTCCTCCATATCCCCTCTTTCATCCCCTTCTTCTGTCGTCTATGTCGATTTATATGGAAAACGCCGCCAGATTGCCAAAGTTCAGGTGCTCGATCGAGAGATTAGCTTGCTACAGGTTTATATAAATCCAACATTACTCTTTTCAATATGATTCTCTGTTTGAAACTTCAATTTGTGCATGTTATTGGATGATTTGGATTCGATTTTAGCATAAATTGCTTGAAATGTCAATGGAATTCATCCGATAACAATTACGAATTGGTTGAAAATGTGATTCCGGATTCAACATTTGCCCCTAATTATCTAGGGCTGAATAATTTTGCTGATTTTAATTATATGATTGTAAACAGGAGGAGATAAAATCACTTGCGGAGCTCGAACTTGCATCAAGATGCTGCAAAGAGTACGCCGATCTTCATATTCTCCAAGTATATAACTTGTTTTTTTTTATTTATATTTGTGCTTATGTTGATCGATGAATGTTGCATACAGGCTTGACGATTTTGTAGAAGCTACTCCAGATCCGCTCATAGCAATGTAAGATTTTTTGGCTATAAGTTTATGGTATAATCAATGTTTTCAAATGTGAAAATCTATTATTTTATGAGAGATATTTTCTAATTATTCTTACAAAAACAAATTATTAAGTGAATGTATTTTTCTTGTAAATGAAAAAAGAGAGACAAATTTCATCAAAACTATTATAATTTTGTTTTCTTTTGTTTAAAAACCGAAAAGAACATTTTCTGATTAAAATCATGAAAAAAATTAGATATAGATAGTTAAGTCGAACAATTTCCAAACTCTAAAATTTGACCGAGGTTCTTGATTTAATCAAGAATAAATCTTAAAAACACTAAATAGCTAAATAGCTAGAGTAAGTAGAGTTTAAATCCATAGAGAATTTATAGATAACAACAAATTTTTTATTGATTATGATAAAGTTTTATGAGTAGCTAAATAGTTATGATTTATAACCGCTCTCAATAATCCTATTTGTTGGCTTATTTCAAGTTATTATTTTTCCATAACATGTGACAAAGAAACCATTCAATTGAAGCCTCACCATAATAAATACATTATATTTTACTAAATTAATCCTATTTTACGTATAGAGACTTAAAAAGAGCAAAGAAAAAAAATTGTAAAGTGTAAAATTAATTTAAATCTTTACTTTCTATCATATCAATAAATTATTACTTCATAAAAATAAAATTATTTATGTTCTTTTAGTTGACATTATTTTATTATTATTTATTAAAAAAATAATTAATATCTTTTATTTTATTGTTTATTTAATAAAAAAATATATATCATAATGGAGTTATATTCTATTATTATTTTTATAACTAGTTGGTCATATTATATTTTTTAAGAACTAAATATGAAATCTCTCGTATTAATATATTCGAGAAAATGTTGGTTGGTAAAAGTTGTGCTCTAAGACGTCGGTTAGAATAATATAAACTTTTTTATAAAATAAAGTATTTAGGTTCATATTTTATGAGTTAAACATGAAAAACGGGAATCAATAATCAATCTAAAAAGTATTTATTAAGTTTTTCATTAAAAACCAATAATAATATTATTACTTTTCTTATCGTTTTTTTTTTCTTTTTGCTTTTTGGGTTTTTCTTTTATGGTTTTCCGATTTTTTTTTTCATATAAAATAAAAACAAAAATTGAAGCGTAAGTTTCAAAATCAGTTTGGACTAATTTTTTGGTGTTTTGTTTTTTGTATATCTTGTAAGCGTATGTGAAAATATATAATAGGACTTTTTAATTTATAAGCTAGTTTTTTCTAAAAGTAGCTTATTTATAAGTTATCTTGAGGTATCAGCTTTTAACTTCTAAGCTTATCGATAAGCTATTTCAAGATAGCTTATCAAAAAATAGGTTTTATCTAACCTTAAGTTGCATTAAATTGGTTTATTTTTGATAAACAGTGCCTGAACTCTAATAATTTGTTTTCAGTTTTGGTCTGGATTTGTATTTTTTTTTTTTTCTATATTTTGTACCTTCATCCACGTCATTAAGCACCATAGTTAATAGCTTCAAAAGTAAATGTAAATAGATATAGAGAAAAAGCTGATACATGGTAATTGTTGATATTGTAGCACAAAGCACACTCGTGGTAGATCAAGAAAATTGTGGAGGAATCTTGGGTAAGCAAATAACATATATGCATATTTCAAAAACTTAACCAATTTCATTAAATATGAACCAACCCCCTACTAATCATAAACTCTTTTTCTTGTAAAACTTATATAAATCAGGAAAAAGTTCGGTTCCGTATTATCATGTTGTTGCTGTTGTGGTTGTTGCAAGACAAAAAGCAATTGTAGATGCTGCCCGTCAGCAAACTGTTGTTGCTGCTTTGGCAGCACCCAACAGAAGAAGACACGTATCTCGGGACACTGTAAGTGTCCCGAAATAAACTGTAGTTGCAATCCATCATGCCCTAAATGTTCATTTTGTTGTTGTTGTTGTTGTAACCCGTGTTCATGCTTTTATTGATATAATTAAATGTACGATATGGATATTTTTCTAGTTGATTTTAGATTCTTTGCATAAAAAACTTTAAAACTTGCTACGAATTACACAATCTCATGATGTTCCTTCATTGCGACATTAACAAAAGTACGAGTATTTTCATTAACAAATGTCTCTGCCCGCTGCCCGGTACCATTATCTAGTGACCGTATTTCTGGAACTCCCACTCGCTATTATCTACAGAAATAAATGTTGAAATAATTTTAATTAAATAAATGGTGTGTAGTTGTAAATTGTTATTATTAAAGGGAGAAATAGAATGATGGTTGGGTACCAAGAGGGCAAACTTGGCGTGTTTTTAGCCAGCGGCTAATGCAGTGGAAATGGAAAGCATGGTTGCAGACACCTATGAAAATATTAAGAATTCATATTCAACATAAGAAGCATTTTAGGCTATATTCAGAACAATTAAACATAATCTTTAGTCTCACAATCTCTAGCAATTGAGGTAGAATAACTAAAACAGCTTCATAGAAAACAATGCTTGTGTTGTTTCAATAAGTATTGTAAGCATGATTATGTCTATTAACATATTTCTTAAGTGGATTTTACAAATGTAGCCAAAATAAGCCTATTTCATAGTCCATAGAGGGAAATTAGCTGAAATTTGTAATTTTTATACCAAAACAATATTGGGCTGGATATGGGCCGAAAATAAGCCTATTTCATAGTCCATATTGGGAAATTAACTAAACTCACAGGTGGCCTAAATCAACTGCTATGGCTAAAATTGGCTAACTCATTAAGATTTTTTGCTATAATTAAAAATCTGAAAATAATTAATGATCATCTATGGCAAAATTCACAGCAAATTATCCAAAGCACTCATAAGGTAAACACCATTATAGCTATCATATAACTCAGTGAAACATATTTTATGTGGATGAATTAGTGGAAAAATCGCAACCCTTTCACAAAATTTGGGGAAAACGTACCCTTATAGTACAAAGATTTTAGAATCCTCAACGAAATTCACAAACACATAATTCAATACATAACAAACACGGATATGAGAATACTATTGGAAAAAATTAGGGTTCAGGTACGAAAGCTTACCCCAAGCCACAGTACACTCCTCGCTGGTAGCGCTGGCCTGATTAGCTTGGCACTCGATACCTGATCAAAATTCAAAACAACACATGAGTAATAAGACTACATCGATCGAACAAGCGGAATTAATTTTTTTTAGTAAACTACACTTACATAGATCCATGATGTGGTTTCTACAGATCGCGCAATTGTCAACTACGATATCTGCGAGAAGAACATCAAATCGTTATTGAAATCACAGCAGACGGAAAATCAGAATTAAGAATTTGCAAAACTAACCCCAAGCCCAAAGTGCGACGGCGTTCCACTTCTTGATTTCAAAACGCTTAGGTTTCTTCGAAGAAGAAGAGGCCACGGCTGAAGATGAAGAAGGTCCTGGAAGACTAGATGCGTCACTGGCCGGAACCATCGTCACGTCGGAATCCATTGACGTTTACAGTCGCCGGGAATTTTGGCTAGGTCAAGAGTCTAAAGAAACAAATTAATTTGGTGGATTCATAGTGATTTAAAGTTTAAACCCTCGGGCCTTGGTTCTATTATTTACTATTCTGGTCCCTGAACTATTTCTAACTTTTCAGTTTTTGTCTACGAGAAATTATATCTAATTCTTTCGCCCTTTATTATTTATTAAGTATCAAGTATATCGACTATTTTTTAAATTGAAAATTTAAACTATAATTATCTTCATAAATGGATAACGTTGTTTCAAATGAAATAATTATCTAAAAATGGCATAAAAACAATTCACTATTAAAAGTTTTGTGACATGATATTAAAGTCACAACTCACAAATGAGAATTTCACAAATAGGAAATTCATATAGGTTTAGAAAAAAATATAATATTTTGTTTGATATGTTTAATTTTTTTTTTTCATCTTCCATTTCATTTAAAAATAAGTCAATCCATATCGATGGAAGGCAAACGGACAACAAGTTACCCCGTTAATCAGTGGCGGACGTAGAAAGTTTGAGTAATGGTGACACAAAAAAAAATTCAAACAAATCTAAAATACAAGTGACATTCATATTTTAAGACGTTGCATCTAATAGAAAAAAAATACACTAACGGCCGAAATCGGAGAGGTGACCCGGGACACCCTGGCACCACATAAGTCTGCCACTGCCGCTAGTCCTTTATGGAGTTTAAACTAATTCTTTTGAAATCAAAATTCGTGGATCTAGGAGATATAACACTAGTATTCATGACACGTTGGACTCTGTTGAAAAATTTCAGCTTGTAACACCCCGATGATAACGTACTTCTAGTTTAAGCCCTATAATTTAATTATATTGCATGGTTGGTCCCTAAGTGTAAGAAAGTGTGGAAAAGGGTCCATAGTGGCAATTTGGTAAAATATGGAAGTTTGAGTACGCCATGCGTACGTGTGTGTACGCTAAACGTACTAAGGCACGCCTTAGTATGTTAGGCGTACACTTCGTACACGGGGCGTACGTGGTTAGCATGCAAACCCTAATTTTAGGGTCTTGGCTCATATTTAAACATCTTTATGGACACAAACCCTCTTCTTACCCAGCCTCTTTTAGAGATTTCGACCCTCAAGCAACCCTAGAGCAAGAGAGAAGCAAATTGTGAGTCTTTAAGAGAGTTTGGAGTGGTTTTGAAGAAAGAAGAAGGTTGTGTGAAGACCTTGGAGTGGAGTGCATTGTAGATCTGAGATTTCTAGCTTATTTGCAACCTCTAAAAGGTATAAAGCTTGCATCTTTACCACTCCATCTTGTAGATCTAGGTTCTTGCCCTTTAAAGTCTCTTTTTGGTCCCAAAATGATGATTCATGAACAAAGCATGTTCTTGACCCATTAAGTTGTCCTTTCAGACCCTTGTGAGGGTCTTGAGTCATAAAAAATGGATTCCAAGTGGTTAGTTTTGCCCCATGCATCATTTAGAAGGTCTTAATGGATTAAGACCTTGAGTTAAGCACTTATTGGACATGCTAAGTCATAAAGTCGGAGACTTTATGACTCATAAGAGTATTTTAGCCATGGATCTGAAATATGGACGTAAGAACTTTAGCCATTAAGCACTTATTGGATTTTTGGACTTCTGGGAGTACGCCCCGCGTACTTGGAGTACGCCCTGCGTAGGAGGTCAACCACCCCAATGGTGGTCAACATGCGAGGATGCGAATACGCCCAGCGTACCTTCGGAGTACGCCCCGCGTACTCAGTCTGAGTTGATTCGGTTGAGTTGACTCGGTTGGGTTGACTCGGTTGACTTAGTTAGTTTGACCAGTTTGACTTTGACTTTGACCAAGTTTGACCTCAAGGGTATTTTGGGATTTTGATTGAGATTGGTCATTTGGTTGGAATAGGAGACGATTAGAGATGAGATTCGGAGTCGAGACCTCATCAGCTTTTGTCCAGTTTGCGAGGTGAGTTTTCCTCACTGTACTTGCGGGTCGAAGGCACCAAGGCCGACCCATTGGTTTGATATCCTAATATTCACTGATATGCTTAGTATGGAATAGATATGCATGATTATGCTAGTTGATGATATGCTAGTCTGGTAGATCTGTAGGACTACCTGTGATTCTGTCTGTATGATTATCTGTATATGTTTATTATCTGTTATATGTCGACATATTGTGTTGGGTTAAGGTTGTACTGCTCCGTGCTGTAACCAACAAACCCTGGAGCATTCCAGATATGAGATGAGGGCTGGGTAGGGCATGCCAGACTCATACTGAGGGCTCATGAGCATTCCAGATATGAGCTGAGGACCGGGCGGTATGCCAGACTTGTACTGAGGGCTTGATAGTATTTTAGTTCGATGACTGATCTGGTCAGGGAGTAAGCCAGACATAAGTTGTGGGCCCCGAGGGCAAGCCAGACTTATGCTGGGGGCTCAGGGGTAATCCAGTCTTTTAGTTGTGGACCCATTACATGTTGTTATTGTATATGTTATATGTTTACGTGTTGGTACATTGGGAGGATCTCACTAAGTGTTGGCTTACAGTTTTGGGTTATGTTTCAGGTACTTCGGATGACCGCGGGAATGCGAAGGTGTGACCGTACACATCCCCTTGTTTATGATTTATGATTTTGGGAGACTCTGATGTTTGAAAATGTTTGGAAACTATGTTTGTAAACAATTTATGAATTTGGGTTGGTTTTAGAAAAGTTTAAATTTATCATGATTTTTATGGGTGTTACACAGCACCTCTGGTGCGAGAAAACCAAAGGTGTTAAATGGGAAAGGTATAAACACATGTTGATTTTCAATGCATGCATTCTCGTGTTTTGTCACTTTGCATGTGGCGACTTTCAAAGCAACATGTCCCGCTATGAAACCTTCATTCCTCAAACCTACGAGAGGGGAGATGTAACATCCCATAAATTGTAAGGTAAAAATTTCATTTATAATTCAACCATAAACACCATTTTTCCCTTTTCAATCATTTGAAAATATATCAGAGTAAAAATAGTTATCAGAGTACAATCCCAAAATCATAAAGTTGCGGAAACATAGGTGGATGTAGTGCAGTCACGCCGGACCCTTCCCTTTTGTACCGGAAGTACCTGAAACCATAATCATAAAACCGTAAGCACAAATCTTAGTGAGTTCCCCAAAATACCACATACCATACATAACAAACATACAATGGGCCATGCCTAACAACCATCGGGCCCCGCTCGGCATCGAGCCCCGCTCGGAACAGACCTGGAAATAACATTAGATGGGCCCCGCCTCATCACATTCATCAGGCCCCGCCCAACATTCATGCAGACACATAAAACACATGTAAGAATCACTACAACAAAGAGCATACAATACACTCATTAGGCGCCACCTGGCATCGGACCCTGCCGGGTACACATATCACATACTTTTTTTTTGAACCGGAAAATATAAATATATAATCTATACCTAAACTCACACCTAATTCCACCTATGTCCACGACGAGACTTGAACCCTCGACCTCAAGGAGGGAGGGCACCACCTGATACCGC